TGTGAAGATTTACCTGAAATAGTTTGCAGGGTTAAAAAAGGTGTGACCTCTGATGATAGAGTTTCAGGAATCGCAATTAAGGCGCAATTAAGGCATAGAGTGCCGTTAATAGGTTTATTAAAAAGTCTTTGGGTATTGTCTTTAAAGGACCCAATGTCCTGTTGTACCAACATGTCCCTGATGTTACGAGTATGTTTATATCAAAACAATTGTAAATTATGAAGTTTAAGGATACCAGGAAACAAATTATTTAGGATTGAGATCACAGAATCCAGGCTGTAACCAACTGGTCCTATATAATTCAAGAATCTGTTTCTTCTCCGTCTCCAAACAAAAGAGCCGCAGGATAGCCAAATCCCCTAAACTTTCTACCCAATTCACACAGACATGAAGTCAAAATGTCTCTACATTTCTAAACACAAGTAAGTAGTAATGGCAATTGGTTACATAGTAATACATAGTAGGATGAAAGCTGTTGATTTCCAAAAAGTTATTTCTACCTGTGGGTTTTGTGCTTATGTCAGTGGAAAAACCATGAGAACTGCATATAGGTTTTAGATCAAGGAAATGAATTTCAATGTCACTGCATGTCATATTAAACTCAATTATGTCACACATGGAGTTCATCTCTGCAGTGAATGTATGCAATTGATCCTTGCTGCCACACCAGACACAGAGGATATCGTCAATGTATCTCCACCGGATACATACACAACCTGGGAACATCTCATGGCGATACATGTATTGCATATAGAAATCATTTCCATAGAGGTTAGCATAAGATTGGGTCATATTAGATCCCATCATTGTGCCTCTTAATTGTTTGTTATAAGTGTCAAAGAAATCCAAACAATCGACTGGATCCAAAGATTTAAACAAAACACTTCTTTATTCCTCCCCTTAGGGATAGGTAAAATGAAAACTGTCATTCAAAAAGAATGGATGGTATACCAACATATGCAAATGCAAGTATGGCAAAAATGGGAGAACAAAAAGCGTCTACACATTTTGTACTACAGACATTCTAAAGACAAATAACCTCATGTCCGATTTGTTGTTATATAAAAGGCCGAGTGATCCACACATAACCAACAGTTGACAAAACATGCCTCTCTTTACAAGAGCCAATCCAATGACTAAAGAAAGAAAATATACTCTGATTCAACTGCATGTAATGTAAGTATCTAAGCATTAATAAAATCCAGTGGTGCAGACGGTAGCGACATAATACTGAGATTGCAACATTTAGAAATAATAAAAATGTCACCTAAAAGGGGAATATGTAAACAATACAAGGAAAAACAGGGAGATGTGGGGTATAATCCCCACCAAGGATAACACTGTGTGAGTCCTCTGATAAGAAGCTTCAATGATAGGAACACTTTGAGAAAGCCTTAATGCTGGTGAAACGCGTTAGTGTTATTTATTTTATACTACACCTTGTTTTATAGTTTGTCTCCAAATAAAGATAGCAATTTGGAGCCTCCTGACCTATCTTTGAAGATTCTTATCAGAGGACTCACACAGTGATATCCATGGTGGGGATTATACCCATGCCTCTTTTACCTCTTTTTATCCACTTTTTATTGTTTTTAATAAAATTCAATCTTCTGTTTTATTAATACAAGGAATAAGGCTATATATATATATATATATATTTATATATATATATATAAAAATATCCAAATGCTTGCACTCCTATTAGAGCAGACTTTGGCCCGGTGTTTATCAGCAACATTTATAGAAAAAATAAATAAATAATAGCACTCCCAGGACTTAATGAATATAGTGAAAAAAATATACTTAGCTTTTATTAAATGACAGCCACATGAAAAATCAACGTTTCAGTCCCTATGTGGAACTTTCGTCCTGACTATATATATAGAGAGAGAGAGAGAGAGAGAGAGAGAGAGAGAAAGACTGGCATGTCTACTAAACATGAAGACGACTTTAACCACCTAATCAGCAGTGTTGGGTCACTCTCATCCTCTATTATTCCTCGTGATTAATAAATCCAAAGACAAAACACCAGAACTCACATAAAAAAAAGTTAAGAAATCAAAAATAATAAATGAAAAATAAATAAATCCAAGTATTTGCAGAGATAATCTTCTAATGTATCCCAGATACAAGAGAACATATGGCAAATATAAGACAAAATTAACAGGTTAATGTATCCAACATGCCTAGTTCCAATCCTATCACTGTAGTCCCTGCACTGGATATGAGTTAAGAAATTGTTATTTTACTTAATTTTACTGAGCAAACAGGGGTGGACAGTGATCACTTAGCTATAAGGGAGACTATAGTCCCAAAATAATATTATTTTTGGGACTATAGGTTCTCTTTAATGTCTTGCAAGGAGGGAATACTTGGTTTTAGCCTGTTGGTTGCTTATGTTCTCCTGGCTGCAAGAGTCATTGTATCATAACATTTTTGAGAATGTTGGGGGAGACTGTCTAGACATCTAGACAACAAAAAGGACCAGGGATCACGATCAAAACACAGTGATCAATGTCATAGAAATTAATGTATTGCAGTAATTATGTAATAGAATATTTTTCTTTAATGGAATATTTCATTAATAAATGTCAGTTGAAGTAAATACCCCATGTGACGAACTGAACTTCATCACGGGTTCTTGGAGGGGCCTGCTGGCCAGCGTCTTGCCTCAGGGCTATGGGCCCTGCAATATACCTTATCCAATACACTTGAAAAGGCTCTGTTCATGCGAGTTATGTACTTTTGTACTCCAGACAAAGAGACCGACCGTTAGCCCTGATTCCCTGGAACAGTTTTTGGCATAGGACCATGTGCATGGTCGGTCAAAAATAAGATTTTCAGGAAATTCCTGAACCCCTGAACTGATCTGGGTAATTTTTGGATATGTGGATTACCCATATCAGGGCTATCAGGGTATATATCATTTGTGGGGTTTTATGTATTTTTAGGGTACATTTGGGGTGTTTTAAAAAAGTATTTTTTTTCTGTGCTTGGAGATAATTTGATTAGAATTAGTACAGTTACTGATCCAATTATCTCCCAGGCAGAGGGGAGGGATTGTGCGCTGTGTGTGGGAGTGTCGTGCCTTGTAACCTTATTGTTATTGGTCTGTGAAGTTGCAAATCAGTCCCCCGCAAGATCTTTGTGGGTGTACCCATTGCATGGAGATTGTCATATAAGGCTCGTCACACCCCATTACTGAGAAATCTTTGTTTCTCTCCAATTGAAATTGAAGTCGGGAGCACTGAGTCTTCCTTCACAAGCTGCAGCAGCACTGTCACTGTGGAACTGTGTTCCACCCTTTTCCCATGTGTGGCCTGAGGGAGCACTGCACTGGGAGGACATCCTGCTGGGTCATAGAGAGCAGCACAGGGAAGAGACCGGGAGAGGAAACCCAGCTCTGTACAGAGGCATCCAGGCAGCTGCTGGTAAGTGTGAGTCAGTGTGTGTGGTTCAGTCTCTGTGTGTGTGTGAGGGGGGTCAGTCTGTGTGTGTGTATGGGTCAGTCTGTGTGTGTGTGGGGGTCAGTCTGTATATGTATGGGTCAGTCTGTGTGGGGGGTCAGTCTGTGTGCATGGCTCAGTCTGTGTGTGTATGTGTGCGTTTGTGTGTGTGTATGGGTCAGTCTGTGTGTGTGTTTGTGTGTATGGGTCAGTCTGTGTGTGGGGGGGGCAGTCTGTGTGTGTGTGGGGGGGCAGTCTGTGTGTGTGTATAGGCCAGTCTATGTGTGTGTATGGGTCAGTCTGTGTGTGTGTGTGGGGGGAGGAGGGGTCAGTCTGTGGGTTTGTATGGGTCAGTCTGTATAAGAGATACATCTCATCTCATGACCTCCCCTGTTCCCGATAGACAGGCAGCCTTCTCAACCAACATGGATCTGATTATGCCACCTCCTCCCTGCAAAGTAAGATCAGGAAAAGGGGAATGTTTTTTTTTAAAACAATTATTAAAGTAAAAATTGTAAAGCTCTTCCCTAGCCCACTCTCTACACCCCCCTGAACACAGTACACCCTCACAGACAGTGAACCCCCACGTACAGTACACTCCCACCATGTGCACCTTTGCATACACACACAGTGCACCCTTCACACACATCATCTCTTCACCCACATACACACTTCTTCCCCAAATACCTTCACCCCATATTTCTTTGTGATAAAAAGGTATATTAATAATTAATAGACGTACAATGGGGAAAAAAAGTACTTGATCCCCCGCTGATTTTGAACGTTTGTCCACAGACAAAAAAATGATCAGTCTATAATTTTAATGGTAAGTGTATTTTAACAGTGAGAGACAGAATACCAAACAAAATACAGAAAATGCACATCAAAAAAGTTATAAATTGATTCACTGTGTCTTCAGGGGCCTAAAACAGTTTTTGCACAAGGGCCCACTTTACGTTAGTTCCTACATTGTGCAGCAGCTTCCCTGGCACACAAGCTCCGCCCCTGCATGGAAGATCGCCGCCCCATACGCAAGCTCCGCCCCAATCTCTGAATGAGACACACACTGACAGACAAACACACATTCTGACAGACAAACAGTGACAGGCACACACTCTCTGACTAAGACATACACAGACTGAGGCACACACACACACACATTTTCTCACACACTCATAAATTGCTATTTTTATTTTTATTTAAATCCTCCCAGCCTCCCTACCTTTGAGAGATCTGAGTGGATCTTTCCCTGGCGTCCAGTGTGTCTCCTCTCAATCTCCCTGCAGTTTCTCTCTGTTCCTCTCCGTAGTGATGCCGAGGCCAGAGTGACGTCATGTCACTAAACAATGCGCAAGGGAGCAGAGAGCAACTGCAGGAAGGCTACTGCTCCCTCGCGCGCCACCTCCATGCTCTCTGCGGCGACCGGCTTTAATGTTTCCTGCGCTTCTTAGCAAAGGGCTAGCAAATGCCAGGGCGAAATATCTAGTCACCATAGTGAGCTGGCGCCTGGAATTTGTCGAGCCCTGTGTATGTATGTATGTATGTATGTATGTATGTGTGTATGTGTGTGTGTGTGTATATATATATATATATATATATATATATATATATATATACACACACACACACACACACACACAGATATATATATATATATATACACACACACACACACACACACACACACATATATATATATATATACACACGTTTTATAACTGCCCCCCTACTTTTGTCCCTTGCCCCTTATGTGCCCCCCCTAAGTATGAATCCTGGAGATGCCAAGGGTTTCATTTGAGAACGGTAAAAGCACTGTTTTACCTTTTATTCAGGATTCTGAAAACAATATTCGAAAAAGGAATTTCCCTTCAAATTGTTAAGAATTCTATTTTTTTTCTCTAACACTGTTCCTGAAATGGCAGCATTCTCTAGTTTACTGGAAGCGTGAGTAGTGAAGTGAGACTACTGCTCACTTAGTCTAGGAGCTAGATCTTGTCATTGTAAACTCTTCAAAAATGTAAGAAAATTTTTCATAAGAAAATTATTACAGTTGCGGTGCCAAAGTTATAAAGTAATGATCATTTGAAATCACTGTTTTCTGCAAACAAATATTAACCTTTCATAAATTCTCACTAAATTATAAAGTTATTGGGGACAAATTGTGCAAAACCAAATGTTCACACACACTGAAATCCATTGGATATATACACTTTAATCCTGTACTGGGGGTTATGCCATATTAGGTTTGTTAACTCAGAGCAAGATTAGTGCACTGTGTCGAGAAATTGTGTTAATCATAGGAATGGCTAGATAAGGCAGTTTAATGAAAAAAATCTTACTCATAAAAAGAGCAATTTTAAATGTATTTTATTAAGTTGTTTGCATTTTTATTTTTTCATTTTACAGGGTAATAGCTTTTTGCAATTCATTGCCGACCTGTAATATACTGAGATTGAGATATCACAGAATTCTACAATGGTACAGTATGTGTTGCATCAGTTACAAGGACGTTTGAAATGGTCTGCGGTAAAGAATAGGATATGTGTTTCAGAATTGAATTACATCAATATATTGTTAGCGGTTCACAATGTAACCATTTCCTTATTAACAATAGATGCCAAACAATCTCTACCCTCATAATTATTATGACAATGATTAGACTTATAACACTGTTGTCGACCCAATTCTGTTTTCCTAGGTAATTTCCATTTTTCCTTGAAAACATTACTTTGGTTGCAGTAATAAAAAAATATTATAGAATAATTATTGGCACGGACAAAGCAAATGTATCTGCAATCAGTAATGTATAGCTAGCACAGTTAGCTATTTGTATATAAACTGATGTGCAGGCATACCCAAAAACATATACAATTTTTATATTTTTACTTATTTGTTTAGCCTTTAAAAAAATAACAATTTAAATATTGTATCAATATTTTATCAAAATTATAGGATTATGTAGATATTATAATAGAATCTGATAAATATAAATGGCCAAACACCCTGCCTCTTGGTATTTATAGGGAATCTGTTTTGAGAGCCAACTGTATCTGTAGTTACCCTGCTAATGGCACATATAGATACTTCAACAGTTTAATCACTATTACAAAACAACAGCAAAGTGTCCAGCTAACTCTAAATTAATTAACACCAAAGACACACAATTCGAAAACCACAAGAAAATTAGCGGCAAAGTCTTATCTACATCATCCAGGCTCTGTAAAATATAGTAGAACATTGACACCTGCGTGTAAGTCTAAACTCTAAATGAAATATGTGACTACATATGGAGATTGCCAATACCTATAGATTAAAATATATGTTTGATGTTTGGTTAAAATGTATCCTGTTTTAACACTAAAAAAATATAAATGGATAACTCAATTGAAGAGAATATTAACTGGTAGCATATGACTCTTGAAATCTATATTACTGCTATAGTTTATTGTAAGGTTTGAATTGATTGACATCAGTAAAACAGTAAACACAAATGGATCTGACAATGGAAATTGTGTCACAAACTTTAGAAGATTTGTCAAATAATTATAGAAAAGCAAAACTATTTATCTATCTATCTATCTATCTATATATCTATATATCTATCTATCTATCTATCTATCTAATCAGCCACAGCATTAAAACCACTGACAGGTGAAGTGAATAACATTGGTTTTATCATTACAATGGCACCTGTCAAGATGTGGGATATATATTGTTATCCCTACTTATACCCTTTTTATCTCTATACCTCACTCCCTCTAGCATGTAAGCAGGGCACCCAACCCTGATGTTCATGTGCATCCACTTGTCTGGTTACAATTATGATTTTGCAAAGGCCTTTGACACAGTAGACCATGACATTCTACTGCACAAACTCAAAGACTCAGGTATTGGTGATTGTTCGCTAACCTGGTTTTGTTCGTAGGCATCGGATCGCTCACAATATGTGTCCATTTCTGACAGCGACTCTCTCCCTCTCTCAGTCACCTGTGGTGTTCCCCAAGGTTCCATTCTCTGTCCTCTACTATTTACATTATTTATAAATGATCTGCCTAATGTCTGCAAATCCTCAAATGTACACATGTACGCAGATGACAATAGTCTATGTGAGCAAATCCAATCTACCGCAGCTTGAGGCTGTGCTCCAAGACCAGTTTACAGAGGTAGAAAAGTGGATCGCAAAAAACAAACTCTTCCTGAACACTGACAAAACTGTCACAATGATCTTTGGAACAGTACCTAAATTACACAAATTACACAATTCCCACCTATCCATCAAAACAAATTCAAATGGCACACTGACCACAGTCCACTCTTTCAAATACTTGGGTATGATGTTAGACCCCAATCTATTTTTTGGCCTCCACATAGAAACACTTGCATCTAAACTTTATCCAAAACTAGGTGCCCTATACAGTAGCCAATTTGTGCTACAATGTAATTACAGGACCCACCATTGTTACATGCTAAAAGAACTAAACTGGCTGTCGCTGGAATCCAGACGCACCCTTCATCTTTCCAGCCTTGTGTTTAAGAGCTTTTCTGGGAAGCTCCCACCCTACCTGAACACAATACTTTCCTCAGCTGTCCCCACCTCCTATAACCGCCGATCCAGTACCAACACTTTACTTAGTCTACCTCAATACAAAAAGAAAGCAGCCCGATCCTCCTTCTCCTACAGAGCACCGCAATTGTTGAACGACCTCCCGCACAATTTAAAATCTTCCCTAAGCCTAAAGTCCTTTATGAGATCCCTCTCTACATACCTTAAAACAGAATGCACCTGTCATGGTTGATTATATATTTCCTACCTGTTCTATGTTAAATTTTGTATTTATTGTGTATTAATATTGTTTTTTGTATTTTATTGCACCCTAATGTAACAATGCAATGTTTTGTGGACCCAGGACATACTTGAAAAATGAGAGAAATCTCAATGTATCTTTCCTGGTAAAATATTTTATAAATAAAATAAATAAATAACGTGTCTGTTAGTCCACCCATTGTACAGCGCTACATAATTTGCTGGCACTATATGAATAATAAAATAATAATAATAATTAGGCAGCAAGTGAACAGTCAGTTCTTGAATTGTGTTGGAAGCAGTTAAATGGGCAAGCTCTGAGTGTCTTTGAAAAGGGCCAAATAGTGATGGCTAGACGACTGGGTCAGAGCATCTCCAAAAAGACAAGTCTTGTGGTGTGGTCCCGTTATGCAACAGATTAGTAAAATAAACTTTAGCTCATTTAGCACTATTTATTTGTCTCCCACTTTGGAATTAGTGCAGGACCCACCGATATTGGGGTATTGTGAAGTAGTGGTGGGCTTAACACGACATGGCCAAATATCTGGTGGAACTTAATCCCCTTATTTGTTTGCAATAGGTGATTTTAAGTAGCCTTATAAAATTTAAAGCTGTATTTTTATTTGTGCATTGTTCCTTAATCTGAATTTTGCATAAATGCTGGTTCTCTACGGCAGAGCTCTTCAGCAGGGCTTCGCGCATGAGATGCCCTGGATGCACAGCAAACTAACATGCTCACTTTGAGGTGGCGTGTGTGTCATTGTTGATGACATGGCACGCCCCCTCTCTGTCCCGACCCCCTCTACCGAGCTGCTGTGGCTTTAAATGCTTGGGCTGAATTTCTTTCACAATCCAGCCCTGCTGATCAGTGTGTATCTATCTATCTAATCTGCAGTTAAAAGACAAATTGGACAAAAATATTCCAGTTTTTTTGTTTTGCTTACATTTTCGGTAAGACTATGATCTATCATCCTCCCTAACTGAAAATAATTAGAAAGCAGTTTATGTATGAGAATTTGGTTATGAACATACTATAACTTTTATTTCTAAGTAAGTTATCTCTGGCTAGAAACCATCTGGATAATTATTATTCTAGAGGTTTTAGATAGCGGTTTGTATTCATTTAGTAAATTATCATTAATCTTCATCTACCTTGATGAAAATATTTACTGGGCAGTTTGTCAAACTTGCATTACATCTACAAATTTCTCTTTCTTCAGAATATTTCTAAAAACAAAAATGTAAGTGTAACAATCATTATCCAAGTATCAATTCTCTAAATTATGTTTTGAAAGTTACAAATCCTACAATTAAAATGTAATTATAATTTCCTGATTCCAATTATTGTTAAAGAAACCCTATTGTGAAGGTCGGATAGTTTAATTGTTCTCTCTCTCACTCTGTTAAACCTGTCTACTGACTAATCATGTAAGCAGAATCTGCTTTCTTTTTGTTAAAGGGACACTATAGTCACCTGAACAACTTTAGCTTAATGAAGCAGTTTTGGTGTATAGAACATGCCCCTGCAGCCTCACTGCTCAATCCTCTGCCATTTAGGAGTTAATTCCCTTTGTTTATGAACCCTAGTCACACCTCCCTGCATGTGACTTGCACAGCCTTCCATAAACACTTCCTGTGAAGAGAGCCCTAATTAGGCTTTCTTTATTGCAAGTTCTGTTTAATTAAGATTTTCTTATCCCCTGCCATGTTAATAGCTTGCTAGACCCTGCAAGAGCCTCCCGTATGTGATTAAAGTTCAATTTAGAGATTGAGAAACAATTATTTAAGGTAAATTACATCTGTTTGAAAGTGTTTGTTTCATGCAGGCTCTGTCAATCATAGCCAGAGGAGGTGTGGCTGGGGCTGCATAAACAGAAACAAAGTGATTTAACTCCTAAATGACAGTGAATTGAGCAGTAAAATTGCAGGGGAATGATCTATACACTAATACTGCTTTATTTAGCTAAAGTAATTTAGGTGACTATAGTGTTCCTTTAAACATTGCTGCTTGATCTAATTTTGTAACACTAGTTTTGTAGCAGTTCGTCTATTACACTATGTTCTCTTTTTTGAGAGTAATTCACCAATGGAACAAATGCACAATAACAATGCCCACTGGGTTGAGCGGGGTACCTACTCCAGGAATCACATATCTCTGTTCCTACTCGCACCTTTGATGCTAGCCTCCAAGACTTCTCTAGGGCTGCGCCATCCTTGTGGAACTCTCTTCCCTGCTCCGTTAGACTCTCAGCCAGTCTCAGTTCCTTCAAAAGATCATTAAAAATCCACTTCTTTAGGAATGCATATCAATTAAACTGTTAATAGCTTTCCCTTGCTGCAACTTGGTAACCTAACCTGCTTATTCTCCTGCAACTGTGCCATCCAATAAATGAACCCTTCACTCTATAATATTCTAGTAACCTACTTTTTTCCTGTACCTGAAATACATCCTTCCCATACCTCTTGTGCCACATTACCAAGCAGGACCCTCAACACCCTCTGTTCCTGTGCGTCCAGCACGTCTTGTTGCAATTACATATCTGTTAGTCCATCTGTTGTACAGTGCTGCAGAATTTGTTGGCAATTAATAGTTAACTTTTACTTAGCTATGAGAATACTCCAATACCACTGAATTGGTAGCTCCTCTTTAAAAAAAATACATCTTTAAACGATCCGACACTGTAACTTTGACTTACCTTAGTTACCATAATTAATTGCTTTAATTACCATACAAATGTATGGTTGTTATAAAATTTCATTTCATTTCAGAGAAAAAAAGAGTAATCCACTACACTCTCAGTAAAAGCTGTCCAGAGATGTCATGTAGAACTGTAGATTATGCTATCTTTAGTGTACTATAACCATAATTTTAATAATGACAGGAGGTGAATATTTTTGCAATTTTCTCTTTACTGTACTCCAACAACAGCATAGATCATAATATAGACTATTAGCCAATCAAAAACAAGCATAAATGTAAACCCTGCATAAACTAAGCACCTTTTTTTATTCTGATGTGAACGATAATAACAATAAGCATACAACAGAAAAATTCAAACTTGGTCAATTATTCCAACTGAGATGAAAACTCCAAAATGAGCAGTTTCCCAAAAGAGTTTGTCAGTTTCCGATCCAAAGGAAATTATTCTGAAAGAAAAGAGAAATACATGAAAGATATCTGAAAATATTTAAGAATTGTAAAACCAATTCCACATCCCAAAGGTGAGCATATTTTGGTCCCGGGGAACATGCTAACCTGAAGAAGTTGACAATTTAAAAGAGTTTGGCCAACCAGAACTCCGATGGATGGAACATGAGCTTCAAAGATAGCTACGCGCATGACATTAATGAAACAGTTAAGATTGACCCAGTGAGAACAGACATCACATCTGGAAGAGGGGTTGAAAGATCGATTCCGCCAGCTTCCAATTGCAGTTGTTCCTCCAATGTTTGGAGAAAAAAAAATCAACTGTACGCATCTGTGAGGTTTTCCGCCCTGAGAGTGATACTACAATTGAAGCAGAACTGGTGGATGTTGTTTGTGATCTCTGATAGCACATGGGATCATGCTCCTCTGAGATGATTTATGTATTGGAATGCAGCAATATTGTCAATTTTGAAGTAGGATGCAACAATCTGTGAGGTCCTTGGCAGACTGCATATCGACTCAATTTACGTAAAGTCCAATTTCCTTGACTGACCAGAGTCTGCTGATGGAAGATGCAGTACAGTGTGCAAGAGTCCCATATAAATGGTTTGAATGGATGATGATATAAGCCCAATTACACTTGCAAGAAAGTGATGGGAATCTACTTGAGATAAAGGACGCATTGTAACTCATTTAGTGGCAATCTTCAAATGAGGTAAATGAAGAACAAAGTTTCTGGAACCTATTTTAAAGCCCAGAAATTGAACAACCGGAGTGGGAGATAGAGACTATTTTGTCCCTGTTTACCATGAAGCCTAATGATGACAGCAAATGCCCTTGGACCTCAGTTGTGTCATGACTAGCTTCAGTAACTTCGTAAAGTACAACGGGGCTGAACGGAGGCCAAATGAAAGACAGGTGAACTGAAAAGGATGATGACACCAGAAGCAAAGTAAACAATGGCTTTCGTAGGCTATGGACAATGAGAGGTATGTGTTTTTGAGATAGAGGCTTGTGAAACAGTCATTCTTGAGCAACAGGTCTTGAAAAGGTGGATGTCCTGCACCTTAAAGTGTCTGTGTGCTATAAAAGAATTTAGCTGACACAGATTTATGACTAGTTGAAATTCTCCAGTTTTCTGTATCACCAGGAACAAGCTACTGAAAAATCCCCCTGTGTCTTTCGCAAACTGAAGAGTTCCTTTGGAGAATTTTCCTCTGAAGTTTGAATTGATACAGATACAGTTACCTGGCGTGGAGTGGTCACATCCCACCGAGGGTCACATCCCACCTGGGGCATTCCTCACCTCACCTCACATTCTAATGGATTCCTTAGCCACAATGTCCTACAGGGACTGAAACGCTATTGGTGCACTGTAGTGACAAACAAGATGGCCGCTGTGGATCTTGCGATCTCCAAGAGGCCGCCACACGATGGCCAGAGAGATACAACCTCCTGCAGGCCCAAAGAGGAGAAAACAAGAACAAAAAATATATGCGAGGTAGCCCCAGCATCCCAGATTCCCCTGAAGAGACATCAGAACAGGAGATATAGGAGCACCACATTTAAAGCACAGCTGCCACAGCACCCGAGTTAAGCACAGATAAATAAGCTGACGGAAGGATAGGTGTTAGGGAGAAGAGAGGCAGCTAAATATATTGTTGTGCCTAATCATTAAATTCATGAAGCACCAATATCCAAAAAGTAATAATCAATTACCTAATAAGGTTTATAGCGATATTGGCGGGCACACAACCCAGTTCGAGATGAGTGTCTTGGGCTATAGGAAAAAGAAACCACACAGAGACCAAGTTGCAGATAAGAATTCACACCACAATTTATTGTCCACAAGGGGACCCAATACAGAGTAAGCTTAATTCTCATTAAGCAGTTGCATGCATTCACTTCAAAACAGCTTAGCATCCGGATATATCAGCTTAAGTATACATCACCGTTAGAGGGGCTTGTGTCCTCTGCACTTGACTGGGGAGAACTCTGGCAGTCGGCATGGAGGGACCCTCTCTGGGAACAGCAGAGACCAGCAACACGCATCCGCATTACAGGTGGGTAGTTCTCCAAGTGAGTGCCAAGTTTCTCCGTCTTTTATACCTTTTAGCAAGTTTGTAATTTTTCCAAGATTTCTTATCAGTGCAGCCCAGCATGTATCTTGTCATGCGCATTAGGTCATCAGTATGGTTGATCAGGCCAGTCGTGACCACCCAAGGCTCATGCCAGATACGTGCGGTATCTTATTCTATCTATGTCCCTACTCTTATCTTTCCATACATTTGTTGGCACCAATTCCCTCTGTTCAGCACGTGGGCCTTTTTTGGATATTGGCCAGACATGCTATGGAATATTCCAGGCAATGTTGAATTTCTTAGTGCAACACAGTTTAAGCATTTTATGCAATGTCATCATAGCTGAATTTCTTAGTGCGACACAAGTTGAATTTCTTAGTGCAACACAGTTTAAGCCAAGTGCCATCTTAACTATCTATGATAGATTAATTTGCTCATTAGTGATCAATCAATCATTCTTAATTAGTTAATTGGATTTTATCACAATTATCACATTCCATGCCTTGATCACTAAGTGAGCAAAACCTTACACATTTACGCGTGCCATTCAGGTTATCAGCAGGGGGCAAGCCCATTTCCCCACTGATCCCCATATTGTTCCATTCACACCTGGAACCAATTCATGCAATAAAACTCTTCGAGTCGAGGGTCACCCGTAGGACATGCCTCTTCCCCCTTATCTCTAATCTTAAGGGCATCTAGTCTATCTATAAAAACATTTGTCACTCTTCTAATTCTATCCTGGCATTTGTTTTACATGTAGCCACTCTTTGAATGCAGCAAATGGTAAGTTTGTAGCATAGGTAAATACAAAGTATAATAAAAACACACCACACAATTCCCTTTAATATTTTCATCCCAAGTCCTCCTATCCATGATCCTATACCAAATGTCCAGTCAAAGTCTCGTGTAGTATTAGCTAGCCAGTGTTCCAAGTCGTTTGTGGTTAGTGGTTTCCTAAAGCGTTTCTGTATCTCTTCTAAATGCTGAAGCTCATGCTTAACTTTCCCTGATTTATCTTCTATCCACACACAACATGCCTTGCCTCCTATTCTTTTACATACTCCTCCTTCTGCTGCAAGCAAGTAATCTAAGGCTATTCTGTTTTGCAAAGCTACCTGTCTAATCTGTTCTTGCTCATAATTAAGCAAACTGATAGCAAGTCCTGTGCTATTAAAGGCATCGTCAATAGTATCAATTAAAAGATTTAAATTAGTTATCATCATTCCCACCCCCACCATTGGAAAGAGAGAGACCCAAAACTGCATGTTTCTGTCCATTTTAAATCCTGATAAATCGGTGTCTCGCTTTTGCCAATGATGATGGGTGTTTTCAGGTAAAGTTTTAGTAGGGTAAATGGCAGGCATCACCATTCCCAAGGTACAATCAATTTTCATTCTACACGGGAGTTTTTTATAAGCCCATCTCCCACAAAGCCAATAAAATCCTCTTGAAGGAATGGGGTGATTTATACAGCTTACATTAGAACATTTAAATTTGAAATAAGCACTAAACACTCCTGTACCTACTATTTTATGCCACCATCGACTTATAGTCTCTGCCTCGCCTTCTCCTAGGACATACTTCCATCTGCCCTCGGTTCTTTTCTCACCATTTTCCGTCCCATTAAAATAGTCAAAACTCCATCCTGTGTAAAAAGGGGATAATGCCATGGTAGTTACATAACTGCTAGGCCGGACGTTCGGTTGGTAGTTACGGTCAGTGTAGTATTTTTGGTAAACATTAATAGTCACTACTTCTTCTAAGTTGTCAGGGTATTCCCATTCCCCCATGCGTAGCTTAACTGCACCTGGTCTGTCCCTAGTATCTTCACTTAAGAAGATCTTGGGGACCTCACTTGTGTCATGGCTTATTAGAAAGTAAAAACCAAACAACAAGTCTTTTTTCGTCAATACTTTAGGGAAATAGGGGTACCCTCTGTCATGAGCATGTGGCGTATGGCCACACACCCAACATGGCTTACATAAATCTAAGCTCTTATATACATTAGCTGCTGCCTTAATAAAGTGATTGTGTTCTTCCAAGGCGAGAGGTGTCAGTCTGAGTTAGGGGTGTCAGAACAAGTCGTCATGGATGTCCTTTGAATTTTGAAAAGTAAATTCCAAAAGTTATCAGGGGTGCTGTTAGTGCAACAGTAGGTTGCACCACTATTCTCTACAATAGTGTATGTTCGCTTTGTGCTTTGCTGATTTGCATAACCTACCCAATATTGGGTAAGTTCTTCTAAAGTAATATTAGAGTCAATATGTGTATATAGTATGCGGCAGCCAAAAGGTGTTGCAGATTCTAGCGTCAGCATATCAAATGATTCATGCGGCAGCTTAATATAGTTCATCACCTCAGTGTCATTGTGGCTAAAATAGCCTTCTCCATACAGGCTTGCCCTTATGTTTGGACAGTCATTAGTCAGGCAGGTTACTCGTATCTCGATCTCTTTCCACTTCATCTCTGCGGAATCACTCTGGTCCCAACCTCCAATCTCGTTGCTGGTATCTGAACTGACCGAAGGGTGTAGAGTAAGCGCAGTCATCACAATAACAGCCGGATCAATGAGCTTTGCCTGTAAAGATACAACTCATCTTACTCTCTCAAATAACATTTGCCCGAAGGCACGTATTCCCATTTATCTTGTCCTGACCTGGAGAGTATCACAGTGTTGTCATTGCCTGTTGCAATAATGTCTGCTGGTTCTGGGGGACCTTTCTCAGTCCTCACCCAGACTTTGGCCCCTGGATTTAGGTTAGTAGAGCCAAATCCCTTATCTCCTCTTACTGTTTGTAAGGTGGGGGCCGTTCCTTTATGTACCTGTCCTTGGTAAATGGGGATGATAACCAATTGGGATATTCTGTCCCCTTCTTGCACTAGCAAGTCTTGTGGTCCCTGATTTAACAGAAGGACCTTTATTTCTCCTTGGTAATCTGCGTCTATAACCCCTCCCATTACGTGTATCCCTTTAAGGGCGAGGCTAGACCTAGGTGCAATTAGTCCAAAGTGTCCCGGGGGTATCTGTATTCCTATACCTGTGGGGAACATCTGAACTTGCCCTATTTGAAGTCTTTCTTCCTTTCTGGCTCACAAGTCTATTCCTGCGGCCTCTGGGGTAGCCCTGTATGGTGCCAAAGCTCCCTCTTCTATTTCCCAATATGTGATAGTGTTGCTTGTTACATAAGGTTTAGCTTGTATATTGGGTGCAATCATTCTAGTGAGGGGAGTGTCATGGTCTGAGAGTGGCCTATTGGTCAAGATGTTTACAGCTGTAGGCAAGTTATCTCTCCATTTGTGCATGGTCCCTTCACCAAGTTTTCTCAATTGTTGTTTCAATAACCCATTCATTCTTTCAATCAGACCAGCTGCTTGAGGATAGTAGGGTATATGAAATATCCATTCAATATTGTTTTCATCACAAAAGTCTTGTACCAGTTTTCCTTTAAAGTGACTTCCATTGTCACTCTGAATTTGTAATGGAAGACCATAGTATTGTATTATGGTTTCCAGCATTTTAATAGTATTTATTTGGGTAGCCCTCTTGCAAGGGTGGACCAATAAATACCCTGAATATGTATCCACAGCCGTGCATACATATTGACAATTTTTACTCATAGGAAGTGGACCTATGTAATCCACCTGCCATATTTGCCTTGGGGCTTTTGCTCTTTTTATTTGACCCTGTACCATCCCTGGTACATGTCTATTGGCAGTAAGTATAATCCAACTTCTTTTCTGCCACTTATCTTTTGGAATCTTTGACAAGCAAGCTAGAAGGTCAGTAGGCATGTCAATTTTACTTTTTTCACATTCATCATTGCATTTGCCAGCGGAACGGGCCCATTCCCTGGCAATCAATGCATATGGCTCATCTTCCCATCCGGGAATGATGGCGTCATCACCCTGTTTCTTATTCTTTTTAACCATTGTGCAAAGTTCCTGTGGTTACTTCAGGGAAAAACTTTCACTCAAGCCTGCCCAGATGACTATATTCTGGCTGCGGGCTCACGCTCCCCGAGCACACTGACGCTCTACACACTCCGTGGAGTGTATAGGGACAGCTATGATCGAGCCAACAATCTCACACTTTCAGGAACAGCCATTTCCTTCACTTCCTCAGTCAGCACTTGCTTCCAGCACCCGTTAAGGTGCGTAGGGGCACTTGTTAACTGACCAAGCACAATCACTCATTCGTGTCAGAATCACCCCAAACAATCTTGTGGTTTTGGTGATCTTATCCCAATACCTGGTATTGAGCTTATTAAATTAGCAGCAATTCAGCCTCATCCAGGACGCTAGCCTGTTTGAGGGTAACGCTCCCCAGAAGGCACTGGCGTTCTACATACCTCTGAGATGTATAGGGGCGTCTACCAACTGAGCACAACTTGTATTCTTCAATCAATCTTCAGAAGCACTCCTCAATCTTGTTAGATTGAGCATTCACTCACCAATCTTGCTCTTGCAACGTCATGCAAACATTTTCAAGTTTACACAATGTTCAAAGAACCCGTAGAAACCGTAGTGCTTGTTTTCTAAGCTTAGAATCACTATTGCATACTTTGCTGCAGCGCACGGAAGAAACTGACAGCTTGCAAATGACTTTTTTCCTCCGTGACGCAGCAGAAATTAGACCTAGTATGATGTTAGTTTCACTTTTACTGTGCGCACAATTTGTCTAGGCAGTTCTAACAATCTCTAACCACAATTTTCTTATCTCACATAAACAGTTCTAACGAATTCTAAACACAATTTCCTTGTTTTAACTATGCTTAACAACTTTTTTAAAACTATTTCAAATTATTGATTTCAATTTTCCTTGCTCAATTAACACTCATCCCATCCTCGTCGCCAAAATGTTGTGCCTAATCATTAAATTCATGAAGCACCAATATCCAAAAAGTAATAATCAATTACCTAATAAGGTTTATAGCGATATTGGCGGGCACACAACCCAGTTCGAGATGAGTGTCTTGGGCTATAGGAAAAAGAAACCACACAGAGACCAAGTTGCAGATAAGAATTCACACCACAATTTATTGTCCACAATTTATTGTCACCCAATACAGAGTAAGCTTAATTCTCATTAAGCAGTTGCATGCATTCACTTCAAAACAGCTTAGCATCCAGATATATCAGCTTAAGTATACATCACCGTTAGAGGGGCTTGTGTCCTCTGCACTTGACTGGGGAGAACTCTGGCAGTCGGCATGGAGGGACCCTCTCTGGGAACAGCAGAGACCAGCAACACGCATCCGCATTACAGGTGGGTAGTTCTCCAAGTGAGTGCCAAGTTTCTCCGTCTTTTATACCTTTTAGCAAGTTTGTATAAATAAGCCCAGCATGTATCTTGTCATGCGCATTAGGTCATCAGTATGGTTGATCAGGCCAGTCGTGACCACCCAAGGCTCATGCCAGATACGTGCGGTATCTTATTCTATCTATGTCCCTACTCTTATCTTTCCATACATTTGTTGGCACCAATTCCCTCTGTTCAGCACGTGGGCCTTTTTGGATATTGGCCAGACATGCTATGGAATATTCCAGGCAATGTTAAATTTCTTAGTGCGACACAGTTTAAGCATTTTATGCAATGTCATCATAGCTGAATTTCTTAGTGCGACACAAGTTGAATTTCTTAGTGCGACACAGTTTAAGCCAAGTGCCATCTTAACTATCTATGATAGATTAATTTGCTCATTAGTGATCAATCAATCATTCTTAATTAGTTAATTGGATTTTATCACAATTATCACATATATAAACAAGGGCACTGTAAGAGGGGAATCCGGGGGTATGGAGCCACCAAAAGGGAGCAGAATAACATGATAAAGCCACAGGTCTGAACGATAGCAAAAAAAATTTGTGATAAAAATAGCAATCTGAGTAATAATTTGACCAGTGCAATATAACTGAGCTTATATACAACAATAGTTTGTTATAATCTGTGCTGCTATTAGAGTACAGTAAGAGAGAAGCCTCCTGTCATGTAAAACAACTGCTATTTATATTATTGTCTTTCTTACTTAGAAATATTCTGCAGCTCTATACATTAAGACACCTGTGTCTAACACCTGTGTCAAACATCAAACATTAAGACACCTGTGTCAAACACCTGTGTCAAATACCTGTAAGACTCTTATTGTCAGGTGTATCGTATCAGCATCATTCTGTAATAGACTAAATACTGTGAGCAGGATATTGCTTTGCTGCAGATGGATTTGGATAGATTGGGGGATTGGGCACTAAAATGTCAGATGAAATTTAACGTAGAGAAATGCAAAGTTATGCACTTCGGGGTCAAGAATGCACAAGCAACTTACACCCTAAATGGTAGTAAATTAGGGATAACCACACACAAGAAGGATTTGGGAATTGTTATAGACAACAAATTAGGCAGCAATATGCAATGTCAATCTGCAGTTGCTAAGGCCAGTAAGGTTTTGTCATGTATAAATAGGGGCATAAATTCAGAAAATATAATTTTGCCTCTTTATAAATCGCTGGTAAGACCACACCTTGAATATGCTGTGCAATTTTGGGCACCTGTTCTAAAGAAAGATATCATGGCACTAGAAAAAGTGCAGAGACGAGCTGCAAAATTGATAAAAGGAATGGAGCATTTTAGCTAGGAAGAAAGGTTAAAAAATGTAAATCTCTTTAGTTTGGAAAAACGGTGCCTCAGAGGGGATATGATCACATTATACAAATATATTCAGGGCCAGTACAAACTATTATCGGGAAATCTATTAATAAACAGGGTTATACATAGGACACAAGGTCACGCATTTAGGCTGGAAGAAAGGAGATTTCATTTATGGCAAAGAAAATGTTTTTTTACAGTAAGAGCAATAAAGAAATGGAATTCTCTGCCTGAAAAGGTGGTTTTATCAGAGTCCATACAGATGTTTAAACTGCAATTGGATAAATACTTGCAAAAACATAACATACAGGGATATAATTTCTAATTAGTGAGGTAATAGCTGCTTGATCTAAGGAGACATCTGACTGCTATTTTGAGGTCAAGAAGGATTTTTTTGCTAGTTTGTTGCAAAATTGGAAGCACTTAAGACTAGCTTTTTTGCCTTCTTTTGGATCAACAGCAAAAACATGTGTGAGGAAGGCTGAACTTGATGGACGCAAGTCTCTTTTCAGCTATGTAACTATGTAACTATGTAATGGGTATTTCTATGATGTATCTATTACATAATGATACTGATGAGATCACTCTAACATCACGCATCTAACATGTTTTGACTCGATTTGGACATTAGATCTAGTGCTTACTTCTTTTAAACAGTATACAAATATTAAAATATAAACAAGGCAAACACAAGGAATTTATAAAAACTTAGTAAACATATAGTGTATGAATATTAAAAACAAGTCAATAGCTGAGCTTTATGGTAAAAAAAAAAAAAAAAAACCCACTCACTAATGTAGCTTTAATATATTGACAATTTCAAATGTTTTCACTAATATTCAGAGACTCCAATGTGTTATATGGGCTGACTTGGTGTTTCCAGCTTTCAGCTGCCTGGAATGTGTGGCCATTTATAGATTATCGTCTACTGGTGCTCCACCCATGGGCTTGCAGAAGTACGTAATTTCAATTTGGCAGCACGTCAACCCTTTCGCAAGTCTTGCTGAATCTATTCCATCTAACCAGCATATTCAGCTATTGTTGAGCTGATTTTTCCCAATAATGATTTTTACATGTGATGCAGAACAATATCTAATAAAACTGCTATTAAGGTCATATTTTTAATTTAATTTTTCTTTTGCAATTGATTTTTGAGAATGTACTGCATTCTTTCGGTAATGTAATTATAGAATAAATGTGAATGATATATTAAATTGCTTTAGGAGCCATTAATGAAAGGCTCAGGTTCAAGTCATAAACTGTCCTGTAACCTGATACTTTCTGTTATCTTCCCTGCAATTCAATTTGGTACCATTGAATAGTCCTAATTGTTAAGTGAACTGCTGGTCTGATCTCAGCATAATATACATAAAGTATATGGCTTCAGCTGGAATCAAAGTCAAGTGGTCATGAATGTCCTGCCAGTAATGCACAGACATATTCTTACCTAGCATTCTTCCCTGGCCTCCCCTGTCTTGGCTAAGATTGTCAAGTATAAACTGTCAAGTATAAACTGGCATGTGAGGGGCAGCAGTATTGGCTCGATCCCTCACATTCTTTGCTCCTCCGGGTATCCTGCAGTGGGTTGACTTAGAAGACTTTAGGGTCCAATATTTACATAAAACACCACCAGCTGAAAGACTTTTGGATCAAAACCCATTGCCATCTATTAGATCGTCTCTCTGGGTGTGTGGTGGGATACTGAGAGAACTCTTTACCAGCAAAAAATTCTGAAGACACTCCCTTAGAATATTTGGAAAAGCACATAACCTCATTATCTCTAAATTCGTGGAGGAAGGGGGTTGGGGCTACACACAATAGGAAACAGTATGAAATGCAGACTACTTTCATTCTCAGACATACGCTTAAAAGGTTCTAACCAAGAATTACTTAAACAATTTCAAATCCATCATTTCATCTCACACCAAAAGCAGGAGGGAACACACCCGGATTCAGTGGTGTCCACAAACCCTCCCGAAACCTTTGATGTATTTGCTCTATCACCTCTTTATAGCCACTAAGAAAACAATCACAAGAAACCGGAATTCTACAAACATTCCTACATCATGCAAGGGACTTTGTTGACACATAGGATGTGGAAACACATGTCGCATAGACAGCAAAACTCTTTACACCATTCTCAAGAAATTTGGTAGTGGTAGTGGTAAGCTCTAGGGGGTAGGGAGTACAGTTTTAAAGTCAACTTTACCTTTATTGACAGTATAAAAAGGCATCATGTGTAGGCAGTCAGGGCATGTTATCTGTTATGATTTTTTTTTTTCTTCTTTTACTCTGTACCTTTATACAATGTACCAAATATGTCTTGTTTTTAATTGCCTCAGTCCTTCCTAATCCAAATATGAGAATGATGAAGACATTATTAGCATCATTTAACTATGCTAGACTGCTATGTATCTATTTATGTATCGTTTGTATTGATGTTGGAATACCTATCAACTTGTACGTGTGACCTCTGATGCTTGAAAAACCTCAATAAAAAATTCAAATTGGAAAAAAAAAATTGGGTATCTGAACAGAGTGATATCTGTCATTAGATTTCTATATTCCGCTGGTAAAAGCACAAAAAGTATTCACCAACAAATAATCATAACAGCAATGCAACATGTATACTCTTGTTGCTGGGCATATTGAGCAGAAGAAGTAGGTTTCTCCTCCTCCAGCCTGTCAATCATATTTCGATGTTGTAGGCTATGCCATTGACTGACAGGTAAAAGAGATGACACTTTGTTTACATTTTATTAAAAACAAAAAATCTATACATTTGCTAGGAATTCTTATATTCTATGTACTGAACTATATATATATATATATATATATATATATATTATTGTCCAATGCTTGCACTCCAGTACAGTAATGTACAGCCCGGTGCTTGTCGGCACAAATAATAGATAAGAAAATATGAAAAGCACTCCAGGGACTTCATATAAGGTGAAAGTCCCGACATGGGACTGAAACGTTGATCACTTTTGGCAGTTGCTGAATAAAGCTAAGTTTATTTTTTCACCTTATATGAAGTCCCTGGAGTGCTTTTCATATTTTCTTATCTATCTATATATATATATATTTATATATATATATATATATATATATATATATATATATATATATAAAATAGTTCTGATCAAAAGTATTCAACACCCATTGAAAATCAGGTTTCCAATAATAAAGTGATTTAACTCCTAATTTTGAGCGAATTGAGCAGTGAGACTGCAGGGACATGATCTTTATACCAGTTTTTTACATTCTACCAAAGGTACATAAGAATCTCCACAATCCACCAGGAAGACCGATTGTCTCGGGGATTGGCTCTATCTCGAACAATTTATCAAAATATATTGATTCCTTTCTTCAACCAGTGGTTTTTAAAACTAAGTCCTTTCTGAAAGATACAACAGACATCCTGAGGATGCTGAAAGACTTAGAATGGAAGGAGGGATATTGCCTGGTAACCTGTGATGTTACTTCTCTGGACTGCGCGGGTGCGGGCCTATCACCGTTATATTGATGATATGATTTTCATTTGGGAAGCCACAGAAGACCATTTTAGAGATTTTTTAGAATACCTAAATAATAATACTTTGGGCATACACCTTACAAGTAATATCAGCACTTTATGTATTGACTTTTTAGATCTTAAGATATACATAGAAAATGGGGTCCTGAAAACACAGACTTTTTAAAAAAAATTTGATGTGAATGGCTATGTTTCATATCACAGTGGGCACTATTCACCATGGCTTAACAACATACCCAAAGGCCAACTACTTAGGTTGAAACGGAATTGTACAGAAGAAAAAGTGTTTGACCAGCAGGCTAAAGACCTTTTTAAGAAATTTAGGGAAAAATCTTATCCAGAAGATCTCCTAAAAAAAGCTTTTAATGAGGTGAAACCAATTGCACAAATAGATCTAATTCAAAAAGAAAAAGTGAAAAATATGAATCAGGAAAGTTTTAATGAAGTGTTAGTCTTTGATTTTAATAATCAGCATAAATATTTGAAAAAAACTATCAACAGATTCTGGCCAATATTAAAAACAGACA